ATTTTTATAATTCTGCAGCACTATTTAAAGCCAACAGCAAGAGAAGTTTCGCGCAATCCCAGGTGACCCCAAACCCTAAACCCTAAACCCTAAACCCTAAACCCTTGGCAATGAAGAGCGCCATAGCCCTTACAGCTAGACTCCGGAGTCTCTACATTATGCGTGCGTATGAGAAATGCTGCGTGGACAGGCACGCTGCTGTTGCTGCTGCTGCTGCTGCTTTCGCTGCAGGGCAAGAAGCGCTAGGCTGCGAGTTGCAGAGAAAGTCTTGCTTCCTTGACTGCAGCAGCGGTAGCAGCGGCAGCAGCAGCACCAGCAGCAGCAGCAGCTGCCGCTTATTCCGTAAGAGCGCTAGCAGCAAGGAGCAACACAGCAGCAGCAGCAGCAGCAGCAAAAGCAGCAGCAGCAATAGGCAAGTGTTCCCTTGTGCCAAGTTTGAAGGATGAGCGGCAAAGCCGCGCAAAAAAAACATACAGAAGCAGCAGCAGCTCCTGCTGCTGCTTCTGCTGCTTCTGCTGCTGCTGCTGCTGCAGCATCGGCTGCAGCAGCAGCTCCCGCTGGTCCAGCAGCAGCGGCTCCCTCCGCCCTGGCGGGCGCAGCACCCCTCGCTGCTGCAGCAAGTGCGTTTCCCGCCGCTGCAGCAGGAGCGCCTATTGCTGCTGCTGCTGCTGCTGCTGCTGCTGCTTTAGGCGGGGCTGTCTTCTAAAAGAGGCTCAGTTAAATGGGCCCCAGCAGCAAGTCTTTCTGCTGCTTCCAGCCGCCGCGTTCTTGGGCTGCGGGGCCCCCGCAGCAAAACGCGCACGTGGCGCCGCAGCAGCTCCAGCGAAGAAACATCTGCTGCAGCAAGCTGCTGCTGCTGCTGCTGCTGCTCCCCGCCCACGGGGAACGTCTTTGGCCGAAAGTACCTGCGCACCCAAACCCCAAACCCTAAACCCTAAACCCTGCGCGCCTCCGCCCGCTCGCGCCGCAGCAGAAAGAACCCCAAACCCAAAACCCTAAACCCTAAACCCTCACCTGAGCAAGGAAGCAGTGTGTATGACGAGGAGGGAGCTGAGGGCCATGAGTGCAGCAGCAACAGGAGGAGACAAAACGAGCTGCCGCGAGGGCAGCAGCAGCAGCAGCAAACCTGCTGCTGCTGGCAGCCCCAGAAAGTTGAAGCAGCAAGCCCACACCAAACAGGCCCTTATGGTGTTTTGCAGTGCAGCAGCAAGTTCCAAAAAGCACACTATGCTCCGCAAGCTGCAGCAGCAGCAGCAGCAACAGCAGCAGCAGCAGCAGCAACAGCTAGTTAGCTGCCCGGTTACCCACCGCCTGATTAGCTAGCTAGCTAGCTGGCTAGCCACATCGTTATCTGGCTACGCACCATGCAGTTAGCTAGCTAGCTAGCTAGCCACGTGACAGGCTAGCTAGCTACACAACCAATTAGCTAGCTACCCAGCTAGCTAGCTAGCTACCCAACTATCTAGCTAGCTACCCAGCTAGCTGGCTACCCAGAAAGCTATCTGGCTAGCTACCCAGCTAGTTGGATGGCTAGTCGCCCAGCTAGCTAGCTAAACAGCCAGCTAGCTGGCTAGCTAGCCAGCTAGCTATATGCCCAGCTAGCTAGCTAGCTAGCTAGATAGCTAGCTATATGCCAAGCTAGCTAGCTAGCTAGATAGCTAGCTAGCTAGCTGTATGCTCAGCTAGCTAGCTAGCTAGATAGCTAGCTAGCTAGCTAGCTGGCTCCCCATCACCCAGCTAGCTAGCTAGCTAGCTAGCTAGCCAGCTAGCTACGCAGCTAGCTCTGTGTGCACGGACTCCTGGTTGGCGACGACGACGGAAGCTGCTGCTGCTGCTGCTGCTGCTGCTGCCGAAGCTCCGAAAGAAAAGGAAATGTCACTTGCTGCTAAAGCTGGCGCGTCATTTAGCCCATCGCCAATCATGCCCACAGAAGGAACTCCTGAAGATTGCAAAAGTCATTTTAGAATTTCGAAAAGTTCATTTTTTTTAATTTAAAAACCTTTTTGAATATTAATTTGCACGTTTGGCCTTTTTGCAGTTCTTTTGAGGGGTTATTTGGCTATTTAATTCTCCATTTTTATTTTTATTTTTATTTTTTTTATTTTCAAGCTTTGGCCTTCCTCAGTCGTGCACAGAGATGGGCTTTCTGAAAGTACTAAAATTAAAAACATTTTAATTCCAGTTTTTTATTTAATTCGGTATTGGAAGATTATTTGGCCACTTATTTGCTGCTGCTGCTGCTGCTGCTGGTATTACTGCTACTGCTGCTACTGCTGCCGCAATTTCTACTTCTACTGCTCCCGCTGCTGCTGATGATGGAGCTGCTGTTTCTGATGCCAATTCTGCTGCAGCAGCTGATGCTTCTGCAGCTGATGCTGCTGCAGCTGCAGCAGCAGCAGCAGCTGCTGCTGCTGCTGCTGCTGCTGGAAAGGCTTACCCGTCTGCTGGCGCCTGAGGTTGAGGACAACTGCTGCTTTTTGTTTGGGCAAAACTTCGGCGAGGACGTTTTGCTGCTGAATGCCAACAGCAGCAGCAGCAGCAGCAGCAGCAGAGTCGCCAGTGCACAGCCATACTTCAATCCCCCGCTGCTGCAGCGCAGCAACAACAGCAGGAGCTTCCTGCTGCAGCCCGTCGGCCAGGGCCACGCAGCCTGCAGCAAAAGTGAAAATAAAAAAGTAAAAAAAAGTAAAAAGGAAGAAATAAATAAAATATATAAAATAAATGAAAGAATTAAAAAAAAGAAACAGAAAAGGAGTTTGGGAGGGACAGAGAAGACAACCGGTAGCAGCAGCAGCAGCAAAGGGGGAAAAGAAATCACGGCAGTAACAGCAGCAGCAGCAGCAGCAGCAGCACCAGCAGAAATGAGAAGAGAAAACCAAAGAGACACATAAAAAGAGATAGAAGTATAGCCAGCCATAATAAAACCCTAAACCCTAAACCCTACACTCTAAACCCTTATCCCTAACCCCTAAACCATACCCCGTATCCCCTAAACCCTAAACCCTAAACTCTAAACCCTAAACCCTCACCTAAGATTAGCCCTGCTGCCTGCAGCACGACTACAGTGCTGCCTTCTTTTTGCCTTTCTTCGGCCCACGCCTGCATGCAGCAGCGCAGCAGCATTTGAACAAGACAAAGTTTAAAAAGAGCAGCAGCAGCAGCAGCAGGTGCTGCTGCTGCTGCTGCAGCAGAGAAAAGAAATAAAAGAGAAAAGGAAACAAAATAGAAAGCTTATGAGAAAAAGAAAGAAACAAACAAAAAGGGAAATGATGGAATAAAAAAGAAGCAACAGATGACACAAAAGGACAAAAACAAACAGACAATTCGGAACAAACAGCAGCATCATCAGCAGCTGCTGCTGCTGCTGCAGCTGCTGCTGTGTCTGCATCTGCAGCAACGAGGCCTCCCTGGCCCTTATAGGGCCAAAATTAAGAAGCAAGGAAGTGGCCAAAGAGCTGAAGGCTTCTGTTTGGATTTCTCTTGTGTTTCAACTAGTTCAATTTAAAATTGAATTCTTTTTAAATTCAATTTCTCGTTTTGCTGCTGCTGCTGCTGCTGCTGCTGCTGCTCACCTGCAAGCTGCCGCTTAGCACAGAAAGGCCCTCAACTCTTTCCCGCACACAGCCGCAATTGGGGCCCCCAACTTTGCAGCAGCAGCTGGAGCAGCAGCAGAGGGCGCTGCTGCACCCATTCTGCTGCTGCTGCTCCTGCTGCAGTGGGGAAGCAGCAGCAGAAGCAGCAGCAGCAGCAGCACAAACCATCACCTCCACGGAGTCGATGCTGCAGCGAAGCCCCCGCCCAGGCAGGCTCGTGAACGAATCGGGGGCCCGCAGCGCAGGAACTCCTGCAGCAGCAGCAGCAGCAACAGGAAGTCAGCAGCAGCAGCAAATCAGTAGCAGCAGGCGTTCAACTTGGCTGGTTGGACCACACTGCATAAGCAGCAGCAGCAGCTGCTGCTGCTGCAGCTTGGCTGCTCCGCCGCGTGCACACTTTGCAGCTTTCCGTAAACAGAAAAGAGTCAGCAACAGCTAGAGGAAAAGCAGCAGCAGCAGCAGCAGCAGTAGCAGCAGCAGCAGCAGCAGCAGCTTGCCTTCAAGTTGCGCTGCAGCTTTAAAAAGGGCTTTCCCCACTGGGTGTTCGCTGTTCATTTCCGCGACTCCCAGAAGCCACCAGAAGAGGCCAGTCAGTTGCTGCTGTTGCTGCTGCTGCTCCTCTTGCTGCTGCTGCTCTTGTTCCTGCTGCTGCTGCGACTCATCTGAGTTTGGGTCAAAGGTACCTGATATCCAGTCGATTGGAAGCGGCTCGGATTTGTTTTCAACTGTGGACTCTTGCTGCTGCTGCTGCTGCTGCTGCTGCTGCTGCAGGCGGTGCAGCAAATGTTGCACAGGCTCGGGCAGCTGCTGCACTGTCTCTACCGCTATTGCTGCTCGGACAACCTCAAATGTCCCTAAAAAGAGAAAGCACAAACACAGAGTCTTCCGTTGTTGCTGCTGTTGCTTCTGCTGCTCTTGCTGCTGCAGCTGCTGCTCCTGTTCCTGCTGCAGCGTCTAGTGGAAAGTGGCTCCGTGCAGCAGCAGCGACAGCCCCATCAGCAGCGTTCGCAGCAGCAGCAGCTCAGCCAGGAACCCAGCAGCAGCATCCGCAGCAACAGCAGCAGCTCAAGCAGAAACCCCAGCAGCAGCATCAGCAGCTCAGGCAGCAACCCCAGCAGCAGCAGCCTCAGCAGCAGCAGCAGCGGCAGCAGCAGCATCCTCAGCGGCAGCAGCAGCACCCTCAGAAGCAGCAGCCTCAGCAGTAGCAGCATCCTGAGCAGCAGCAGCATCCTCAGCAGCAGCAGCAGCAGCAGCAGCAGCAACAGCAGCAGCAGCAGCAGCACCTGTGGTGATGGTTCCAGTTTTATCGAAAATGAATTGTTTCAAATTAACAGCAGCAGCATAAGCTGCGCTGCTCTTCACCAAAAGGCCAAAACGCGAAGCCACGCCGTTCGCCACCGCCTGCGCTGTGGGGGCTGCGAGGCCTGCAGCAGCAGCAGCAGCAGCAGCAGCAGCAGCAGCAGCAGCAGCAGCACAAACAGCAGCACTCGAGGTAAATTTCGAACACCAGTGAGCTCCCCCGAAGTTGGACTTCCACAAAAGAGACAAACGAAAACAAAGATGCAAAAAAGAAACCCCTGGGGGGCCCCACAGGGGCCCCTCGGGGGCCCCACAGTACCCAGGGGCCCCTGTGGGGCCCCACAAGTCCATTAAGGGGGCCCCCCAAACAGCCGCGTGGGGCCCCAGGGAGGCCCCTTTGGGGCCCCTCCGGGGCCCTTTCAGGGCTCCCTAGGGCCCCCTGGGGGCCCCCCGGGGGCCCCCAGGGGGCCCCCGGGGGGCCCCCAAGGGGGGTTGTTGAGGGTCTTACTGAGGGCACAGGGGCAGGCGACGGAAAGGACTGCAACGGCGAACTGTAGAGACAGTAGGAGTTTGGAAGTTGTGGGGTTTTGGAGAAAAACCTTTTTGGGGATCGGGAGGAGTGGGATCGGGGAGACGATCCCAGCTAGCAGCAAAAAGGCCCACACGCAGAACGTTGCTGCAGCCAGCAGCAGCACCAGCGGCACGAACCACCTGCGCCCAGCAGCAGCGCAAACCCTAAACCCTAAACCCTAAACCCTCGGGCTTCGCCGGCAACGCAGCAGCGGCGGGATAGTCCAGGGGCCGGAAAGCGGCAGCAGCAGAGCAGCAGCAGCAGCAGCAGCTGCAGCGGAGTGACCGTCAGCTGCAAGCGGAACCTAAGCAGCAGCAGCAGCAGTAGCAGCAGCAGCTGCAGCAGTTGCATCATCTCACGCTGTTACTTTGTCTAGCAGCTGCGGCTGCTGCGGTTTGCTGCTGCCGGAGAGAGTCACTAGCTGCTGCACTTGGCCCAAGGCGGAGCTGCTGCCAAGTTCCTGCACCTGCAGCAGCAAAGCAGTGCCTGCTTCAGCAGCAGCAGCAGCAGAAGCTGCTGCAGCGGATGCTGCTGCTGCTGTAGGCCCTGCAGCGCCGTCCAGTCGCCGGCTCCTCGTGGAACTGCTGCTGCTGCTGCTGCTGCTGCCTGCTGCTGCTGCTGCTGCTGCACCTGCTGCTGCTGCAACAACAAAAGAACCCCCCAAGACTGTCTCCCCCGGGCCCTTCGCTACAGCGTGGCTCTCCCCCGTCAGCAGGGACTCATTTACAGACACAGTATCCTGCAGCAGCAGCAGCAGCAGCAGCAGCAGTACATCTTCAAGCAGTGTCTGCAGCAGCAGCAGCAGCAGCAGCAAGTGCTGTGACGCAGACGCAGTGCAGCTGAAACCACGCAAAGAAGCAGCACCACCCCCAGCGCCCTCAAACTTCCACCAGCAGCAGCAGCAGCAGCAGCAGCAGCAGCAGCAGCAGCAGCAGCAGCACCTTGTTTAGCTGCAGGCCATCTGCGGGAACTGCAGCTCCCAAGGGGACTCTAATAACATCTCCAATCTGCAGCAGCTCAATGGGGACAGAGACAGGGGGGAGAGAAGCAACAGCAGCAACTTGCTGCTGCGACAGCTGCTGCACTGCAGCAGCAGCGTAAGCTCCCTTATAAGCAGCAGCAAGTTCTGCTGCAGGGGCAATCAGGGAGGAGGCGTTTGCTGCTTCTGCTGCTGCTGCTGTTGCTGCGATTGCCGGAGACCCGAAATGGCCCTTTCTTTCTGCTGCAGCATCCCCAGCAGCAGCAGGGGCCGCGTCTTCACCGGCACCCCCAGCAGCAGCAGCAGCAGCAGCAGCAGCAGCAGCAGCAGCAGCAGCGTTTGCCAAGAGAATGGCAGTGGAAGGCTGGCTTGCTGTCAGCCTCTCAACAGCAGCAAAAGCTCTTCTCTTTGATCTCATCTCCAGCATTTCTCCCAGCAGCAGCACAGCAACAAGAACAGCAGCAGTATCGAAAAACGTGGGCGGGTCCACAAAGCTGCTGCTGCTGCTGCTGCTGCTTTCGCCGCCGCCGCTGCTGCTGCTGCCGCTGCTGCTGCTGCTGCTGCTGCTGCTGAGGGTGAGGAAGACTGTCATGATGGAGACAAAAAGAGAATAAAGAAAAGATATATTTGTTGCCAAAGACATCAAAACATACATATCTGCTGATCCCCGCCGTGCTGCAGCCACGGCCTTGCGGTGTACGTACACCCCAGCGCCGTACACCGCAACGCCCGACAGCAGACACACCAGCAGCAGCAAATAAGAAAGGCCCGGCAAAAACGACTCCTTTTGCTGCAGCAGCAGCAGCACAGCAGCAGCAGCAGCAGCAGCAAGTCAAAGGGAGATTCAAGATTCGAAGCAAAAGAAGACAAAAGCAGCAGCAAAGGCATCAAGCGAAAGAAAACAGCTGCAGCAGCAAAGAGAGTTAATACAAGGGAGATAGCAGCAGCAGCAAAGAGTCAGCAGTAGCAGCAGCAGCAGCAGAAGCAAGAAAGTTTGCTGCTCACAAGAGGCCCCAAGTAGCGGCTGGGCAGCAGCATCGTCAGCAAGGCCACGAGGGCCGCGGGAACAGCAGCAGCAGCAACGCGGCGCTTCTGCTGCTGCAGCTCTGCTGCTGCCGCTGCTGCTGCGCCGAAGACCAGCTCCCCCCGGGGAGACCACTGGACCTTCCAGTTGCTGCTGCGGCACAGCAGCAGCAGTTGCCGGGCCCCCAGCTTCCTGTTCTCATATGTTATTCTTACACAGAGCCCCTGGGGTTTCCCGCGTCTGCACAGCCCCCCGAAGAACCCCCCTGCTGCTGCTGGTGCTGCTGCTGCTGGTGCTTCTGCTGCTGCGTCTGCTGCAACAGCAACAGATTCCACACCCGGGACCGACAGCAAAAAGGACTTAAACTTCTCACCCCACAGAGCAGCAGCATTTGGGGCCCCCGCAGATGGGGGCCCCTGTGGGGCCCCACAGGAGAGGCTGCTTGCTGCATAGTCTGCTGCCCGTGTTGCTGCTGCTGCTGCTGCTGCTGCTGCTACTGCTTCTCCCGCGGTTGCTGCTGCTGCTGCTCGCAGGTCTAGCTGCGCAGCCCCGAAGCACCCCATGTCCGTCGGGCAAAGATGAAGGACTGATGTTGGTTCTGCTGCTGCTGCAGCAGCAGCTGCTGCTGCTGCTGCGTCTGCTGCACCTCTCTGCAGCAGCTGCTGCTGCGAGGGCAGCAGGCGGTCCGACAGCAGCAAAACTTTGTAGCCGAGCCCACTCAGCTGCTGCTGCAGCTCATCAGCTCTTATGGTGGAGGCGTCCCTTCCACCCCGTGCTGCTGCTGCTGCTGCTGCCGCTGCTGCTGCTGCTCGGTACTCAACAGTTACCTTCTCCAGCAGCAAAGACACGCTTGCTGCAACCACTCCCTCCAGCTGCAGCAGGTGCTGCTCTATTGCCCGCACGCAGGAGGCGCAGCGCATCCCTGCAGCAGCAGCAGCAACGGCAGCAGCAGCAGCAGCAGGTCTGCAACAGCAGCAGCAGCAGGTCTGCAGCAGCACCGGCAGAGTGGCTGGAAGCAGCTGCTGCACAGCAGAGGCTGTATAAAGAGAGGCCCCGGGCAAGTACTTGCTGACCCTAAACCCTAAACCCTAAACCCTAGCTCACCAGTAACTTGCTGCGGAAGTCCGTGGTTGTGCTGCTGCTGCTGCTGCTGCTGCTGCTGCTGTTGCTGCTGCTGCTGCTGCCTAGCTGCTGCCTGAACCTCGGAGCCTAAGGGAACTCCGTGAAGTGTGGGGCCAGCAAGCGAGCCAAACCCTAAGCCCTAAACCCTAAACCCTAAACCCTAAACCCTAAACCCTAGGGGCAGTGGCGCTCACGACTTTCGCACAATTCGTGAGTCAGCACACTGGGTGGCTGCCGACGAGCCAACATAAACCCTAAACCCTAAACCCTAAACCCTAAACCCTTCAATGCACTTTGCTGCTAAGAATTCAATAAGGGCGTTATTTTTCATATTGGGCTCTTTTCAATGAGTTAATGAGCAGAAGGAGAGAAGAATGGGGGGCCCTGGATCCAAATCCTGCTACTGCTGCTGCTGCTGCCGCTGCTGCTGCTGCTACTGCTGGTGCTGCTGTTCTTGCCTTGACTTCTTTGCCTGCAGTGAGCAGCAGGCTTCTTGAAATAAGCCATTTATTTTCAGAGGCTCATCAGGCGGGCTCATAGCCCAAACCCTAACCCTAAACCCTAAACCCTAAACCCTAAACCCTAGATTCCGCGGCAGCGAGCAGCAAACCCTTGAGGCTACACCCTCCACACAAATCCCTAGAAGGCAGCAACGCTTACAGCTTTTGAGCAAAGCGTGTCATTACTGGTGCGCTGCTGCTGCTGCTGCTGCTGTTGCTGCTGCTGCTGCTGCTGCAGCAATGTGAGGGGCCCCACAGAGCGGCCCCCCCAGCAGCACAAGAATTTGCACCGCAGCAAATTGCGACTTGTTATAAACCCTCAACCCCAGACCCTAAACCCTAAACCCTAGCCTTGCGCCCGTGCTGTCGAAGGCTTAGACACCCTGAGCTCACTTCTTGTGACTTAGGGTTTAGGGTTTAGGGTTTAGGGTTTAGGGTTAACATGGCCGTGGGGAGTACCGCAGTGTTGCGAGTCGGTTTTGCCTGCTGACCCGCAGCAACAGCAGCAGCAGCAACAACAGCAACAGCAGCAGCAACCGCAGCAGCAGCAACAGCAGCAGCAGCAACAGCAGCAGCAGCAACAGCGGCGGCAGCTACAACAGCAGCGGCAGAAACAGTAACACCAGTAGCAGCAGCAGTAACGTTTCGAATAGCCCATCCAGCCTTTTCTGCTGCTGCTGCTGCAGCAGCTCCAGCTGCTCTTGCTGCTGCTGCTGCTGCTATTGAGCACAAACATGGTTGCGCCTGTGGCTGCCTTCTCCCGTTCGCCTCCCCTCCAAATCCTAAACCCTAAACCCTAAATGGGGGTTTCTGGGGCTGCAGGGCTAGAGGCCCAGCTGCGCGTGCTGCTGCGGCGGCTGCTGACTTATGAGAAGCAGCAGCAAACAGCAGATGAAATAATTCAAAGTCTTACCGCCTCCATTGGGGACAGAAGGTGACCCTGCTGCTGCTGCTGTGCTGCTGCTGCTGTGCTGCTGCTGCTGCTATACTGCCGCTGCTGCTGTGCTGCTGCTGATGTACTGCTGTGGCTGTGCTGCTGCAGCAAGTGCTGCTGCTGCAGCAAGTGCTGCTGCTGCTGCGTACGGAGTGTCTGTACACCTCAGGTACTTGGAGGGAGACCACCTGAGGACGCTGCTTCTTGACCCGCAGGTAAGCAGCAGCAGCAGCAGCAGCAGCAGCAACAGCAACAGCGGAAGGAAGAGTAGCGGCAGCTCCTTGCGGTTGGCCAAGAGGTGCTCTCTTCTGCTGCAGCTCCCCAAGCAGCGAATTCAGCACCTGCTGCTGCTGCTGCTGCTGCAGCTCATACTGCAGGGTTGCGCTGCGGCTGTGACTGCTGTGCTGCTGCTGCTGCTGCTGCTGCTGCTACAGTTGCAGGCGCGCTGCTTGGCCTCTTACAACTCGCGGCTGCTGCAGCAGCAGGCTCGCCTGGAGTGTCTGCATAGTGACCTGGTGCGTTAATCCCGAAGCAGCTGCAGCTATAGCAGCAGCAGCAGCAGCAGCAGCAGCAGTATGGACTACAGAGCACTGGCAGCACAAGCAGCAACAGCTTCAGCAGGAGTAGCAGCACGCTAACGACAGCAGCAGCAGCTGCTGCTGCACTAGCACAACATCAAAAGCGATACCAGCATCAGAAATAACAGTACTCTCACAACCGCAACACTAGCAGCAGCAGCAGCAGCAACAGCAACAGCAGCAGGTTTGCCAGTGTGTCTGCTGCTGGGCTCAGGAAGAAACAGTTGCTGAGATGCAGAAGGCGACGCAGGCGTGTAGAGAAGCAGCAGCAGCAGCAGCAGGTAGTGCTGGTACTGCTGCTGCTGCTCCCGTAGCTGCTGGTTCTCAACCTGCAGCAGCAGCAGCAGCAGCAGCAGCAGCAGCAGACCCTAATGAAGCGGCTATGATGGCTGACATAGGTGAGTGTAACTATTACCGGAAGCTTCTTCTGTTTTTCAAGGAGCAGCAGCAACAGCAGCAGCAGAAGCAGCAGCAGCAACAGAACCAGCAGCAGCAGCGCCGCATGAAGTGTTTGCTCGCTGCCGCTGCTGCTGCCGGTACTGCAGCTTCTGCTGCCTGTGCTGCCAATTTGTTCCTGCTGCTGCTGCTTCTGCTGCTACTGTTGCAGCCGGTTTGATGGAGCCTATTGCTGCTGCTTTTGCCCGCCAAGTGGCACTGCAGCAGCGCCTGCTGACCATGATGGTTCGTCTAAACCCTAAACCCTAAACCCTAAACCCTAGACTTTACTTGCAGCTACCGCATGAGGTCTTTTGGCTGTGGCGAGGCACGCCGCGTTGGTGCAGCTGCTGCTGCTACTCGTGCTGCTGATGCTGCTTTCGTGCTGCTGTTGCTAATGCTGCTGCTGCTGCTGCTGCTGCAGCACGACATTCAGTGTACAGACAGCCAAGAACTGCAGCGGCTGCTGCTGCTGTTCCACGTGAGGCCCTGCGAGTACCCTCTGCGCAAAGCGGGTTCGTGCGCTGCTGCTGCTGCTGTTGTTGCTGTTGCTGCTGCTGCTGTTGCTGCTGCTGCTGCTCTTGCTGCCGCTTTTGCTCATGCTCCTGCCATTGCTCGTGCTGTTGCTGCTGCTGCTGCATTTGCTGCTGCTGTTGCAGCCGCTGCTACATTTGCTGCTGCTGTTGCTGCTGCTGCTGTTGCTGCTGCTGCTGCTGCTGCTGCTGACGGCGCGGCCGTGCTGCTTGCGTGTGTGCCCGTAGGGTGTATAGACGCTGCTGTGGCAGCTCTGCGGCAGCTGCTGCGCATGCAATGAAACATTTGCTTCCATTTTATTTATTTATTTCATTATTTTTTATTCTTTTTATTTTATTTCATTTTATTTTATTGTTTTAATTCATTTTATCTCCTTTTAATTCACATTAGCTTCTTCCCCGCCTCTGCAGCTCTCTCCAATTTCTATTAAGCGCCCTCTGCTGCAGTGTGGGGCCCCACAGCGTGTGGGGCCCCACATCCCAGATAGAGACTTGTGGGCTTTTTCAGGGCCCCATAGGGGCCCCCAAAGGGCCTCAAAGAGAACTTAAAAGGGCCCCAAGAGGGCCTAAAAGAGGCCCCAAAGGGGCCCCAAGGGAGACCAAAGGGGGCCCCAAAAGGGCCCCAAGGGGGCCCCACGGGGGCACCACAGGGAGGCCTTCAGGGGCCCCACAGGGCGTTTCATAGGATCCCCATAGGGGCCCCTAGAGGGGCCCCACAGGGGACCCTGAGGGGCCCCTGAGGGGCCCCTTAAGGCCTAGAGGGGCCCCACAGGGGGCCCTGGAAAGGGTTTGTCTGTGGGGCCCTACAGGGATTTGGTGGTGGCTGCCGGTGCAACGGTTTTGCTGCATTTGCTGCTACTGCAGTTGCCGACGCTGCACTTGCTGCTGCTGCATTTACTGCGAATGACTGGCTGCCGCAGCTGCAGCAGCTGCAGCAGCTGCTGCAACTGCTGCTGCTGCAGCTGCTGCAGCAGAGCAAATTGGTTTTGCTTCCTCCTCTGTACTCTGAACAAACCCTAAGCGCTAAACCCTAAATGGTGTTGAGAACACAATTGCGTCTTTTTTCTTTTTTTTTTTTTTTTTTCATTTTGTTTATTCATTTATCCCTTTTGTCCCACTTTCTCACTTTTCTTTGCCTTTTATTTTGTCTCTTTATTATTTTATCTTTTTCTCTTTTTGTTTGAAGCCCAGGGCTGGGTGGGGATGGATGACTTTAGGGTTTAGGGTTTAGGGTTTAGGGTTTTCGGGTTTAGAGTGCGTAGTTAAAAGAAATTCGCATAAATGACAAACAGAAAGAAATTCATTAAATGAAAAAGTTGGAACTTTTAGTTTAAAGTTTTCTGGAAAAATTTGGCGCTCTGAGTTTTGCTGCTGCTGCTGCTGAGGTGTACGTACACCTGAGGCCCCACAGCTCATCGCTGGCATATTCGAAAAACATTTTTTTGGAAAATTTGAATTAAATGAATTAAATTCATTTCTAATTCATTGCATGCAACGCGCCTTCACTTTAAATGCATTTACTTCTTTTTTCTTTTTGTTTTTCATTTTTCTCAGCAAAAGTCTGCAGTGTACATACACCTGAACGCTTTGCATGCGTTTTTAAAAGATTTATTTCGTCGCCAAAAACGAACTGTATTACTTTTAATATTATTTTGTAGTAAACACTTTTCTTTTGTTTTATATTAAGTACTTTTAACATTACTTTTGTCATTAGTGCTTCCATTATTATTATTATTATTGTTATTATTATTATCATTGTTATTATTACTAAGTTATTATCGTTGTTAATTTTCGGTTATTATTATTATTATTGTTATTATTATTTTATATTAAACTCTTCTTATTCTTGTTCAGTGAGCAATGAATGACAATAACATTTAAATGCATTTATTAATAATAACAATATTACTATTTATTATTATTACACTGGCTTGCTGAGTATTAGAATTTTTAATATTTAAAAAAATAAATATTTAAATACTTTCTTTAATGCTAATAAAAGGCAAAGTACTATTATTTATTAAAAACTATTTATTCTTATTTCAAAAATTCAGAAAACTGGCCGAAAGAAATTTCGGAGTTGGAAATGAAAGTTAACTAGAATTGGGGTGTACGTACAGCTGAATTCCGGTGTACGTACACCTCAGTTGAGGCGCTGAAGAAATTTAAATGAAAGGGAAAGTGAAATGAAACATTGAGGTGTACGTACACCTCAGTTGCGTTGATAAAGGGGTTTAATTGGAGAAAGAAAAGGGGAAAATTGAGGTGTATGTACACCTCAGTTCTGTCGCTGCGGTGTACGTACACCTCAGCTGCTGAGGTGTACGTACACCGCAGCAGCTAAGGACGCCGAGACCGAGTGTCTCCAATCGCAAGAACAGCAAACTTCAATTCTTCTCCTCTGGGCTTCACAAACTGCTCCTTTATAGCCTCAATAGCAGCCTGCAGCAGCAGCAGCAACAGCAGCAGCGGCAGCAGCAACAACAGCAGCAGCAACAGCAGCAGCAGCAGCAGCAACAGCAGCAGCAGCAGCAGGCGTGGCTGACAGAGCGTTTCTGGCCCACGCACAGCCACTGCAAGCCGCCGCAGGCGGCCCGTAGGGAATAGGGTTTAGGGTTTGGGGTTTAGGGTTTAGGGTTTAGGGTTTGGGGTTCGTGCCTGGGCAAAGGACTGCCCCGGGGCAATTTGAGCGCGCAGCAAGGGTTTGGGTTTGCGGCCATCGAGCTCAGCAACAAAACCCTTAAAAGGCAGCAAACAAGTAAAGTGCATGTTTGTGTCTGCTGCTGCTGCTGCTGCTGTTGCTCCCTGCTGCTGCTGCAGCAAGTGCAGCCGCGCCAAACCCTCGTGGCTCTCCAGCACCTGCCCCCGCCCCGCAGCGTCTAACGGCCACGTGTCCTCTGCGCGCAAACCCTAAACCCTAAACCCTAAATCCTAAACCCTAAACCCTAAGCCACCAATCCTAAACCCTAAACCCTAACCCCTACGGCTGGTCTTTTGGGTGGGATGGCTGACGGAAAGATGAAGTGCGCTTCAAAGCTAAACCCTAAACCCTCAGCAGCAACCCCAAACCCTAAACCCTAAACCCTAAACCCCAAACCCTAAACCCTATTCCCTACGGGCCGCCTGCGGCGGCTTGCAGTGGCTGTGCGTGGGCCAGAAACGCTCTGTCAGCCACGCCTGCTGCTGCTGCTGCTGTTGCTGCT